ACCACCACCACCACTACCAACATCACCAACATCACCACACGAGCTCGGCAGCGTGGTGTCCGTATAGAGAATAGATCCGGATATGTTCGTCTATTAGAGACGATCATCCTTGAGAGTACTCAGTAATCTTGCAGCATCGCTATGTGCCTTGTCGAGGAACCTGTTCATCTCTGACACCTGGGGGTTTATTGGTTGATTAATGATGATGTAATTCGGCGTCGCCGACGGTTGGCATGGATTAGCATGGATTAGCATGGTTGGCATGTTCTACTGAGTATCACTTGTCGAGGATCCCCCTGCTTTGGATGGAATGGACTGTGCCATTGTGATGCAGGTTGTTTCCAACAAGGAGCTTGGCAATGAGTTACCCGGACGGGATCATTACCTCATTCGATCGCCAGACGCCAGACAAACAACAGACAAGGCCTGAGGCTGTGTGTGGTCTTCGCCCCTCAGAGACCGCCGCGTTCAGGTACGTATGCAGTAATCGGCTGGGGCGGTGTGACCCGCCACTATCTGATGATCTTCCTTCCTTCTTCCGACCCATCACTGCATCACTGCAACCCTTTGGAGACAAGGCGTGCCACGCATGCTTGCCTGAATCTGCGTGTATGAACCAGGGGTTGAAAAGAACAAACTTCAAAAGGTCAGATGCTCAAGCATGAGACAATTCGTCTGACAGACTGATCTCCCAAAAAAAAAGCCAAAAGGGCAACTCTCCTAGTGTACTACAGCTACAGCACCGCTGCCGCTGCTGCTGCTGCTGCACTGATGATCATCGGGTAGTTTGTGGTGTCCACCTCGTCTCTGTAACCCTTTCCGGAATCGCATTCCATGGCCGGCCGAGGTATTTTGTCTCGTGCACAGGCAGGTACCGACCACTAAAGCAACCCAGTCATCAACCAAGGGATCTCCCGAAGCCAGTTCTTGTCTATTCTTATTCGGGCTTGGTCCTTTCTCTTCTGACCGCGGAAAAGCTGCGTTTATGCGTTTACATCAGCTGTCGGTCGCCTTCTGGCTCGAACTCGTACTGCCGACGACGAGTTCGACCCAGTAAATCCCACCGCGGTCGATCCTAATCCCAAAGGCGATTGACAGCGAATTCCCCCCTCATCGGCAGTTACAATCGGGTCGGGCCTGGATATGGACAGCATACACTAGCCGCGCATGCGAAACAAAAAAAGTTTGAGGCGGATACTCCCTACATACATTCAGTGTACGGTGTACGGCTAGAAGAACTGGGCACTAGACATGTTTCGTTGTCGACGTCATTGATCAGACGCAAAATACTTGTATAGTCGAGTCAGAGGTGATCAATCACGGAGGGGCTTTGGTCTGTGTCTTCAAGGTTACTTCTATCAAGCCCACAGGAAGAGACGTCTTAGTCATGGACGGATTACATGCACTCCCATTATGCATAAGCTATCCATGCATTCCGCCTGTTCCTCGCCTTGCAGTTGGTAGGTCAATTTGACTTACTTCTCTGCACAGGCCACCCAGTGCCCAAAATTCAAGCGATATACCGGTCGCAAATAAGCAAACAAAGTCCATCCATCACACGGACGAACAATTAACCCTAACGCTTAGTTAGTCAGCCACCTCCTGGGTCAGGTTTCTGAGTACTCCGTACCAGTGAGGCTTTCAGGTCTTTCGCCAATTCTTGCTCCATCTGTATTTAAGGTTTGCTTGATGTCTCTCGTTGGCTGTCAACGCCACGATAATCTCCGGGAGGCCTCTCTCATACTAGGATGATCCCTTGGCCAATTGGCCCCCAAAGCAGGCGCAGAAAGGAAAGGAGTGGCAGACCGGCATTAGGCGATTATTCGTCCAAATTTTCCCAAGATTCCCTTGTAGGCAGCCTGGCCTAACTGTTTGTGGCTTAGGGGAGCGCTCCCAAACCAAGACCTGCCATCTGCGCATCGTGCCGCAACTCCGTCATCCGGCCCCAAGGGCTTGGTTTGTGGATGGACGCAAATCACGGACTCATTACCCTATTAGAATTGTGTCGATTCAGCACCTTGGTCAATTCTCTCACTCTGCCCATCTTGAGATCCATCCTCCGATCTACAGCCCTGCTTTCGGCGCAGATGCGCCTATTTTGGGGTGGTGGCAGGTTCTCCCAAACCCCCCCCCCCTTTTTTTATGAAGGGTTGAATGAAGGTCGGTCTCGTACTCCGTAGTTTTGCACTGATGAAATGATATCTTTCCTGGGGAATGGACCAGTTTCCCGCTAGAAGCTAGAGAGAACGGATCGAACTCGAGATCAACCAGGGTTGGCATGGGACCCAGGACACACTGTGTCCCCCGAACTGGCTGGTGATTTCGACTACAGCAGCTAGCAATATCTCGTCTCTGTTGAAGTCATGACTGTATTCAAGGTTGACTGATGGGTTTGTGTATCTGGAAAGGGTTGGCATTTCTCGGGCGGCAAATGTTCCTCCACTGATCTACGACCGCAGGCCCCTTCGAGAGACAAAGGGACCGACCGATCTACAGACGAATAATGACGATGAAGATGATGAAGGCGATGATGATACATAGTACATAATTCAAGGTGGGAAGTTGGTCTTGGAAGATGAGATCAGGTTCTCAAGCGATGTGTGTGATCGTGCGGCAACGATCAGCCGTTTATGGGGCATGGGATCGTTGTGACAGGTAAAACCTGGACGGAGGCTAGCCCTTTTCTCTCTTGTCTCCTTGGGTCTTTTTTCATTTTTTATCATAATGATGATTATTATGAATCCTCCAAACGATCGGCTGGTAAGAGGGGCCCTTTCTGTCGAATCTGGCCATTACCGCGATAATACCCGGTGGGTAATAGGCATGGGATCCATGGGGGAGGGGGGTTAGGAGGGCGCCGGCTCGTCCCCCCCCCCTCTCCCCTCCCTTTCTTCTCTTCTCTCACTCTCCCACTCTCCCCATGATGGATGATGATCGAAGATTGATTCCTGGCGGGCGCATGATGGAGAAGGAAAGGTGTCCGTGGATCTGCACTAGCGCCAGACTTACTGTAGCCGAGCCCCGAAAGTACCGTTGGTTTTCCATCGGCCGATCTGTCGGCCTCCGTACGACGCAGTTACGTACGCCTGCTTGGTCTTTTCAGAGGAGCGCTGGCTGGGCAATTTATTTTCCCTTTTTCTTATTTCCTCCGTATTATTATTTGACTCTCTATATCGCTCCGTCGACGAACGGAGGTGTTTCCTACTTTCATACAGAAATTCCACTAGCTTATAGTTGGACGGAAGAATAACAGGTAGAAATGTCTCCGACGTTGAATCCTTTTTCATCTTGCTTCAATTGATGTCATGGGTCTCAGGTCCATGTCTCGCTGATTCAGCGAGCAATGGAAGAGGCTTCTTCCGACAGTAGTAGTGCTGTCGCTGTCTTCCAATGTTCTGGTCTTTTTTAGTCTTTCCTGATCTTTGGTAACCCGCTAATTTGACCCAGGGTACAGTACACACGGCTGTCCATCGTGCGGGTGTGGATAGGCGGAGGAGGCGCACGTTTTTTTAGCTCTCGTCGAGCCTACCCAAAACGATAAGCTAATGGCAAATCATCCTTTTTTAGTCGCGTAGCTACGGTACGGTATGCGAAGGAGGATGAGGGGAGAGGAGGGGACATGCGTTACGGTACCGGTCCCAGCAAAGACAATCATAAATGAAAGGCGATTTTTCCCCTCGGAATTTATTACGTCGCTTATCGAATCAGACGCGGCCAAAATAATTAAACGAAGGGACCGGAGAACCACCAGCGCAAGTCATCGCGTGTACTCCGTACCGGGTCAGTGGTCATTAATTAAGCTTTGAGACGGTGGTATCAGCCCTTGTCGAAGCGAATCGAGAATGACCGACGATGGATTTTCCTTGTGGCTAGAGTACTAGGTAGTTAGTCAGTGGCCACTGCGGGCTTTCGGGGGGAAATTCATGTACGTACTGTTACAGTTAAGTGGTTGTAAGCAGCATTGGCAGCAGCAGCAGCAGCAGCAGCAGCGAAGCGCGGGAAAATAAGGAATGTAGCCTATAGTAAATTATACTTTGTGTCGGTAGTCTATGTAGTTACATGATGTTGTGTGTGTGTGTGTGTGTGTGTGTGTGTGTGTGTGTGTATGTGTGTAGGACTGAGTGTTCTGTCCCTGGCCAGGCACAATTTTTTTGCTATTTTATTTTATTTGTTTCTCTATCCTTTCAGTTGAGTTGCATTATTTTCAATGAATAAATCCAAATAGGGGAGGTTCGCGGCGGCGGCCTCTCCCGCTTTCCTCCTTCTTTTCAGTTTCTCGGCTCCATCTTCAACGCACACACTGTCTTTCTCTCTCGCTCGCTCGCTCGCTCTCTTCCTTTCTAACTCTCTTTGTGGTTCCACTCGTCGTCTAACGCTACGGCCGGAGTTTACCAGCGCTATAATTAACATTTGATTGATGTGCAGTTTTTAATAAAACACCTAGTATTATTTTTCATTTTTGACTAGGATGGAGTCCACCTTTCCTCCCACATCCCCCCTCCACTTCCCTCCACTTCCCTCCACCTCCCCATCTCCCCCTCCTCCTCCCCCCATCTCCATCCTTTCCTCCCCGAAAAAGAAAATATTAAAATGAAAATAAAAAAAAAAGCCAGAAAAAAAAAACAAAATCAATTCTTTTTTCTCGAAAATAATTCCATGATTGTCAACCCTGCATCTCCACCATCGCTCTGGGTCTATAAACCAGTTCCTCCTCCTGGTTCTCATATCCACCCCCACCCTGTCTCGACTACCGTGCCTGGATTGTTTCTTAGATTGGATCTCTTATACCCCGTTCCATCAGTTCCCCTCCAGGCTTCTTCATATATGAACTCTGGGTAGCCGCCTTTTCTTGAACCTCAAGAGAAATAACCACTTACCTTTTCTCCTCCTTCCCGTTCCAGCCTTGAACTTTACCAAGACCAACAGTTGTCCACTACCACCACCACCACTACCACCACTACTCTTATCTAGTACAACGATCCTCACCGTCGCCCATCATGGATCTCGCCAGCCTTATCACTCAACCGGGACCAGATCCCCTCGCAATGAGGATGTCAAGAGCCTCTTACAGCCCCCCTGCGCCTCGCGTGGCTTTGTATAAGCGCGCACCGGACTCATACTTCGCTTCCGTGCCGGTCTCTTACTCCCGCGCCCCTCCTTCCCCGCCGGTCGAGGAAATGCCCCCCAAATGCTCTCTCCCTTCTATCTCGACCCTACTCGAAGGCGCAGATGGTGCCTCCATGCATGCAGCTAGTATGGCAACCTCCCCATAATTTTTAAATCGGCCCATTTTGGACCATCAACTCGGTCAGTGCTGACCGTCGCAATGCAGAGCGTGCAAGAGTTACTCCTCCAGTTCAGCGCGAGCTGGACACCCGCCTTCCCCCGCAACCCTTGGATGCGATGAAGGCCAATGGCCCCCAAATCGGCCTGCCACCTACGCCTCCATTGCGTCCTGGTTCTGGGTTCAACAGCGTCAGCCACTCTCCCACCTCGTCGATCTCCGCCGTCAGTGACGGTGCCGCCGTGTCCCGCGCAGAGCCATACACCCAGGCGCCGGCGAGACTCCCCAGTCCATCGGATCGGTCTTCCATCTCTAGCCAGGGCTCCGTGGCTCCTGTCTCCGCCGCGCCTTACGTCTCTCCCGCCCCGAGCGTCGCTTCTTACTCCTCTCCCATTGAGCCCTCGGCCTCCTCGGCCATCTACTACCAGAGACCGACCTCCTCATCGTCCACCTACCAGCCGTCCAGCAGCGTGCCTCCCTCCACTGCTCCTCTGCCAACCGCCGCACACCAACAGATGATCTCCCCTGTCACCCCGGCCTGGCAGCATCACCACTACTTCCCTCCCTCCAGCACGACCCCCTACCAGCAGAACCACGACCGATACATCTGCAGAACGTGCCACAAGGCCTTCTCGAGACCTTCCAGTCTCCGCATCCACTCCCACAGCCACACCGGAGAGAAGCCCTTCCGCTGCACCCACGCGGGTTGTGGTAAAGCCTTCAGCGTGCGGAGCAACATGAAGCGCCACGAACGTGGCTGTCATACCGGCCGGCCCGTTGCCACCGCCATGGTATAAACATACCATTCACCGGCAAACCAAGAAAAAGCACAAAAGCCGCGAGAGAGGAAATTGTTTTCTTCTCTCCAGATTTTCCCCCAAATACCCATGACTCCCAGCGACACTTCTTTTGCTCTGCATTGCTTCTTCTGATGATACCCTTCTGCTTTGCGTGTTCATATATACCTTTTTATCTTCTTTCTGCTTCTTTGCGTCGAACAAAAATCTCTGTTTTTTGTGCAAAAAGCTTAGGAGGGCGGGGAGCTACGGTGTATCACCAAAAAGAGGTCTCCATACATATTTTTCTTCTCTTTCTCACCCTGTGTATATTTGATTGATTTTTTTTGGACCTCATCACCCCGCCCAACACCATTCTTGTTTATTATCGTGCGAAAGGAGCAGGCATCGCTTGTGGATGACGGGCTTGGGAGAAACACACCATAGTCGTTGTTCCGTGACAGCTAGAGGTTGTTGCAGGGAACGAATATGGTGAACAGAAGCTGGAGTCCCTTGACTCTAGTTTCTCTTTTCTTATTTGTTTTTGATGAGTTTATTTTGTTGTGTTATGTTTTTCCTTGTGTCGTCTCATTTCCTTTGTATCCAATGATGTGACATGACCACCTTGTGAACAAAAGATTATCAATATTCAATATCATGAAGATCTCAAAGATGACTTTTTGTCTGCCGTAGAGGGTGTATGCAACTGGACGTCTGGTAACTTAACGGAAGTCTCTAAGAGGAATGGAGAGAGTTGACGCCGGAATCAAGCGCAGTCAATACACTAGGGACTAGGGATGAGACCCCCTCTTTGTGGTGAGTTGTCACTTCTTCTCTCATAACCCAAAGTTAACTCAGGCATTGACCTCAGCTCCCCTCCTCTTCTCCTCCCGAGCAAACCGCTCTACCCTGCCTGCCCTCCATGAGCTCAATGGAACCCGATGGGCAGTCCCAAAACCGTTGTAACCGCCCACCTTCTGACTCCAACTCCTTATTACACGTACAGAGCACTGTCCCAAACAAAGAGCACCCAGCCTCCTCGGCGGCGGCTCGGGACGCAACTCCGTCACCCACAGTCACATCTCACATCTCCCTCCCTCCCTCCCCCATTAGCCATCAGCCATCATCACCGCCCCGGTAAGCACCCTCCGTGGTCAGACGCTTTTGTATTCTTCCTTCCATCCGAGTCGGACGTGACCGTACCCGCAAACCTTAAGTCGGAGACATCGAAAGTCAATATTCGGCTAAGCAGGAGAATGGAGGTGGCCTGAGGTAGGCGGGATGTACCTTGCACCTTGTACTGTACTGTACTGTATGTTTTTTGGGGGGGAGGGCTTATTCTTTTCTTTTTTGTTTTGTTTTGTTTTTTTTTTTGGTGGCTGTGGCTGTGGGATCCTTATCCCTGGGGCTTGCTTACCTTGCCATTTCGCTTTGGACAAAGGATTCTTATTGAGGGTTGGGATGGGATGGGATGTTGTGGTGTCTGTCTGGGAGGGCGGTCAACGGTCAGGGGAGGGAATCTTGTCGCCGTTGTTGGGGGATCTTATGATTTGAGAACGGTTGGGTCGGTTGGTTTCGTCTATCCCCTATGGGGAGTGGTCCTGTGTCATGGGTCGTATGTCATAAGTTATGTTTTGTAGGGCCAGAGAAAGAGAGAGAGAGGGAGGGATCGGGGATGGGATGGAATTATCATGGATGGGTTGTGTGTGGTTTTGCATGTGTTTTGCCTGGCCGCGGGATGGAGGATGGGCTGTGGTTGTGGTTGTGGTTGTGGTTGTGGTTGTGGTTGTGGTTGTGGTTGTGGTTGTGGTTGTGGCTGTGGCTGGTTCTTGTGATGGACGATGTATTGTATTGTAGGTTAGCGAGCTATTGCCGTCTAACTGTAGTGAAGCTCCTACGTACTTACTTCTTTTTGAGGGAACAAAACGCCTTAATGGAGTGGGTTGGGTGAAGAAGGATTACGGTGTAAACGGATTTCTACGCCTTCACTCTAGGCATGTATAGATTTCACGTTTTTGGGGCTCCTGGGTCCCGTAGCATTTATCCTCGAGATTGTAGTGGTCACGGTTCAATACCAAAGGAAGTGCTTCTTTCTATCGTTGTATGATTTCTACCAATCTATCTCCTTGTATAGACTTGACCTACCTTACTGTGCAAAGGCGATTCCCCCGAGCTGTTCATGTATATAGGTAGCAGGTCCCAGTGTAAATATGTAATTTAGTAGTCATCAATCATCATCCCGCATACCCGGAAGGAATTGCGAGAAACAAAACGGTCTTGTCAACTCAAGCATCAAGGTCCAGAGCCTCCAAGATTCTATCAAGCTTGTCCATGAGAATCTGATAGTTGAGCGCATCCTGATCGAATTCGTCCACAACGACCTCACCGTCCAGCGTACGGATGACGGGTTGTTGTTCTTGATCTGTGTCTCCATCCATGGCTGGGGTTGGGTGTGAAGTTCCGTTCCTGGTGCTAGAGAGGTCCAATGCCTCCATCCCCTCGACAACCTTGTCTACAACGATACCATTCTCTTCATCACCCTCTGTCTCCGTGGTGGTATTCTGAGCTTGTGCGACGGATTGCTGCCGCGCTTCTTCCTCCATCATCTCGTCGATGCCGGCGTCGTCGAACCGGAGCCGGAAGCGCTCGCCGAGATAGAACCGGATGTCGTCGAGCAGCTCAATGGAGTCGGTCTCCTGACGACCTTGAATGCGGGCAGCAGACTCCTGAATCAGCTCCGAGAACTCGGGGGAGTCGATATGAGCTTCCAGCCGGTAGGCGAGGTAACGGGCGGCGAACTCTTCGAGGCGCTGGACGCGCGTCAGCCAGGCGGCGCGGATAATAGCGTAGATGTCGAGGTCGTCCTCTTCCATAGTGCCGCGCGTGCGGGCGGCCTCGGCCTGCGACATGTTGCCGCTGCCCAGGGTGCTGATTACAACAGCGGCCTTCGTCTTCAGCTTCTCGATGAAGAGCATGTCCGCGGCGAACAGAACGTCGACGGCGATGTCGAGCGGAAAGTCTGCGCGCTCCGTGTAGAGAAAGGTGAGCACAATCTCGAGGACGTCCGGCGAGCAATCCACCGGGATAATGTTGAGATGGTCCTTCATGTGCGCCTCGCGAAAGGGGGAGGTAAACATGGTGTGGAAGAACTCAGAGCGTAGGAGCATGGCCCGGTGGCAGGGGAATAGCGTGCTCTTCTGGACGCGCGGAGTGGTAGAATGACCGTTGGTGCCAATATGCTCGTCCACATCATCGAGGTCCTCGTCTGCGCGGAGCAAGACGTCCGCAAATAGGATGTTGTCTCTGTCCCATTTGACTTCATCCGCTCGTGAGGTTTCCACAGTCACCTTGTGCTGGAGTACATTCGCCCGGAACCACTCCTCCAGTTGGTCTCGCCCTTTGGCCACCTCGAGCGTCCGTCTTTGTCGAGCGAGCCTTCTATCTCCGCTGTCCAATATACTATCCAAAAGCGTATTGATTTCCAAATGCTTGGCAATCTTATCGATGTTAGAAAAGACCTCGGACTCGGTGAACCCGGTCCCTGGGCCACTCCGGATGTCGCGCGGGGCTTCGCCAAAATAGAGGTATTTAATCGCTGTCCCGAATGCTTCTGGTGGCATTGTGCTAGGGAGCCTCCATGTCAACGTGTCCGGGGCAGTGGCCAATTTGTTGCGGAAATATGGAGATCGTGCGGCCAAGATAAACTTGTGTAAATGGAGAGACTCATCGCCTGCTGTCACAACAATATCCGCTGTCGCAGGGCTTTCGCGAGTAAGAAGTGACGTGATGTGAGCTGCAAGAGGCTGCAGAGGATCTGTCGACTTCGAATAGTCGTATTCCAGGAGCAGGTTCCGTATCCGATCATTGAGGGCGTTATACAAACATCTACCATACTGGAGTTAACATCGTGGGCTGACTAATAACTACTTCGACATCGAAAGTGACACAAATGACAAGGTGCATACCTTTCTCCCTGGAAAGTGTCCCGTTCGCACAAAGCTCCGGACTCGAGCAGCAGCTGAGCGACCTCGTAGTGGCCACAGAGACTTGCCTTTTGCACGGATACTGGTTACTACTGCTCGGCAACGCCGACTCGCCACGCCGAACCTGGCTAACGGCCTGACGGTCATTCAAGGCAGACTTACCAGGATCAAAGGGGTGTAATCGTATGGATCGCGGGCATTGATATTGACTCCTTCCGTGATTTTCTCCTGACAAACTTTCAAATCCCCCTTACGACAAGCATTGCAGAGCTCCCGGAAGGGTTCGCTAAGGTCAAGAGGGTTGTCGTCCTTGATTGTCCCCTCCTTGATAAGCTTTTTCTCATTGTGCAAACTTATCTCCAGCTGGTCCTTCCGGAGGACCTTCGGTTCATCCATTGTGCCAGGGTAGGAGATTGGCAGGGTAGATGAGATGCGAGCAATTCTTCAAGATATGCAGGTATTTGTTGCGGAGGACGGCGGGGGAGACGACCCCAAACGGGGGCAACATTTGGATCCCTCGTCTTATCGATAAGCGCGGGTCACGTGAGACGAGAGCCTAGCTACGCTGACTGAGCGAGACAGCCCCTGCCCAAAGGGGACCAAGGGGATTGAAAGAACTTCCTTGTCCCCTTGCATCTTTCTGGTTCTCTTTCTACTCAGTACGCTTGAACTTGTTGAAAGCCCCACTTACCATAGGGTGTCTTGCAGGTTCAAGCGAGCAAGCTTTCGGTGTTTATCTTGTCCCATGCAGCATTGTGAACCGTTTCTGACGTCCCGAACCACTGACGGAACGATGATGCTGATCAATGACCCGCTTCACCGCCCGGTATCCCCACCGCCTGCTGTAACCAGGCAAGAGTCGTGGCCCGCAGCCGTTGCTCAGCAACAGTCTGCACCTAAACATTCAGCACTTCCGTCCCCGTTGCATACCTACTTCTTTAAATCTACAACGCAACCACATGTTCCCACCCAACATCGCTCCATACTAACCCAGCAGGTCTCAGTCACACGCTATCGACCCATAAATGCCATAGGCTACTCGATCTCATCCGCTCGCCACTTCTTCCCGACCTTCGCCTTATACTTCAGATTCTTGCCTGCGGTCTTTCCTCCCAGCAGCCACAATGGCAATTGCGTTAGCGGAGGCAGACAAGTATGAGGTGCTTGAAAAAATTGGTATGAGACACCAGAGCTCCATCTAGGCATGCAAGTTAGCTTCGGACATCAACTTACTGATCACGAATGCTTAGGTTGCGGTTCCTTTGGAATCATTCGCAAAGTGCGACGAAAGGCAGACGGCTTTGTAAGGATCCACCCGTCATTCATGCATTAGACCCTTTTATGCTTACAATCACCTTTGTTGTAGATACTCTGTCGCAAGGAAATCAACTACATCAAGATGTCGCAAAAGGAACGAGAACAGCTGACAGCCGAATTCAATATTTTAAGCTCTCTTCGACACCCGAACATCGTCGCCTACTACCATCGCGAACACCTCAAAGCGAGTCAGGACCTTTACCTCTACATGGAATACTGTGGTGGTGGGGATCTCAGCATGATCATCAAGAACCTGAAAAAGACGAACAAATTTGCAGAGGAAGAATTCGTCTGGCGCATTTTGTCCCAATTGGCGACGGCGTTGTACCGCTGCCACTACGGTTCTGATCCTCTCGAAGCTGGAAGCATTCTAGGCCCTGCTCCTAAGCAGTCTGGTCTCAAAGGGAAGCAGGCTCAGATGACCATCCTTCATCGCGATCTCAAACCAGAAAACATCTTTCTTGGCAGCGACAACACTGTCAAGCTCGGTGACTTCGGTCTCTCGAAGCTGATGAACTCTCAAGACTTCGCATCTACCTACGTCGGTACCCCATTCTACATGTCGCCCGAAATCTGTGCGGCGGAACCCTACACATTACGATCTGATATCTGGGCTGTCGGCTGCATCATGTATGAGCTGTGCCAGAAAGAGCCGCCTTTCAACGCCAGAACCCACATCCAGCTCATTCAGAGAATACGCGAGGGCAAATTTGCTCCCCTGCCTGATTTCTACTCACCCGAGCTGAAAAATGTTATTGCAAGCTGCTTGCGCGTCAACCCGGACCATCGCCCCGATACTGCAGCGCTGATCAACCTTCCCATCATCCGCCTGATGCGGAGAGAGAAGGAGGTTGCCGACCTTGAAAAGACTTTGCGAAAGCGTGAAGAGACTGCCGCTCAGAAGGCTAGAGAGGTGGAACAAGCATACACTAAATTGGACAGAGAAAAGCAACAGATGAAGGCCGAGTTGGAAAATACCGTCAGACGAGAGTGGGAAGTCAAGGCTCGGCTAGAGATCGACCGTCAGGTGCAGAATGAATTGGAAAAACTCCGAAAGCGATTCGACTTCGAGGTTCAGGAGAGGGTTGCACTAGAGATCGAGAAGCAAAAGAAGAGCGGTGCTTTCAAGGAGGATAGCAATTCCCGGTCAAACAGCCAACAATCCCAGCCATCCAGCAGCAATGAGGATGCCAGTAACCCACCGAGCGCCGATATCACCCAATTGTCGCTCGAATCTCCCGCTCCCAGCAAGGCCCCGCGGAAGGAAACACGCACCCCATTGACTCGATCGAAGACCGTGGTCGAGTCACCAATGGATGTCCAAATGGCCGAGCCCTCACCCATCTCAATTGCATCGCTTTCCTTGTCTCCCCGTCGCACATCTGGAACACACTCCGGCAAGAACATTTTCGCCGAAGCAGACAGACAGCGAGCGAAGTGGGAACCCACCTTAGCGTACTCCGATGATGAGGACGATATTCCCGATCTGCCCTCCCCAACTCGCCCCAAGGTCAAGCCAGACCCGTTCAAAGCCCCTTCACGACCACTCCTGCGACAAAACACAGCTGCATTCATGCAGAAGCTAAGCACTCAACCGCCTATCTTCCCCAGCAACGCTTCCAGACTACCACAGGTGTCAGGTGGCCTCTCTGACATGCTTCCTAGAGAGAGCAAGCCCCGGTCACCTCATCGGCGTTTGTCCAAAATCCCATCTTCAGCGAATCTGGCTGCCGATGCTGGCTCACCCACACGCAAGTCTGGCGTCAAGCAACTGCCCTCCAAAACCAACAACTGCGGTGAGGACATGTACAAGGCCGTGATGCAGCGCAACATGGGGGGAAGGACGTTGGTTGAACTGGCGCAGGCGCGCGCGGGTGGCCGTCCCGTTGATGAGATCAAGCGATGTGCCAGCGACTCCCGGGGCTTGAAATCCAGTGCGCGAGACCCCCCGGCCGTGTGGGATCCCGAAAAAGACGAGATGCCCAGCCCATTCTTGGTCCGGGGAAGAAAAATCATTCGCAATTTGAGGTAGCTACTATCGCACAAGGATAACGCCATGCCTTGACACGGCCCATACACATTGAGTGTCAGCAATCTTGTCTTTCAGTTCCGCCGGTTGACCCGGTTACTCTTATGACATACACGCCTTTTTGGGTATCTACTGTTGACGCCTCATCGTCAATATACCATTTAATAATTCAAGACATACTTCGGAGTTATACGGTTTGGGTGGATTAAATATTCTCGCACCGGAGTTTGACCGTGCGAGACATGGTGAAAGCTTCGATGATGCATTTTTTGGTGCGCTGCATCTTGACTTTCAAAGCTTGATCGTCATATGAAGACGCAACACCCTCTACTTTCCTTTGTTTCTCTAATGCCGTGACGAAGTCCCTCAATCCCCTCAAAATTTCCCCTATGCCTTCCCCCCAAACTTTTGTCTCTTTCCCCCCACTCACATCGCACACTGTACAGATAGTGACTGCATCTGTCCATATCCAGCTCGTCTGGTGGTTTCTGGTTACATTCTCCATGCCATGACATTGCTCCATCCCCCTCGATTCCCCCCTTTCGACTTCTCTGCGATGCACATCCCGAAAAGTCAGTACACTCGTTTGACACCTGTACATTTCCTATCTCTTTCGTCTATGCATTTGTGGTGCTCTACGGTTGGTGTTGATCTGGTGATCCTTGGGCTCTGTGGTTCTTTCGGAAATTTGCTCTCAAAGGGAGTTGTACATACATACACACACATTCTGTTTCTCGTTCACACGGTCCTGCGCTAGATTGGATGATCAATAAATCTACGGTTCCAGTATCCTTCAATCTACGAATCCAAGGACTAGAGTTACGACTTTTGGTAAAGGAAAAGAGAGACAGAGCGAAATACGGGTACATGGATAAGGCGCTGACTGATCAACAGTCCTCTTCCCATCCCCTCCCCCTCCTCCGCATATTTGATTCCCTTTGGCCCCGAAATAATAGTCCTGGATATTCATTAATCTTGATTCATTAGGATCTATGCCTCCTCATCTTCAACTTCTTCGATTTGAACTGATCGAAGCTCCTGGTTGAACCTCCTTTCCTCCTCTTCTAGCATTCGCCTTTGGGCGTCGTCGTCTGTCGTTTCTGGTTGACCTACGGCCTCTGCTGCCTTTGCTACCCCAGCTTGGCCCATTTCTGCCTTGTAACCTGCTTGCTCCAGCCGGTCCATCTCTTCCGGCTCCAAGAGCTTACCCTGCCCTCGTATAGAATCCTGCTTAGCTCTGACGGCAGCGGGGATGAATTTGTTGATGGCCTCCTGTCGCAGGTCTCGGATCTGCGGCTTAGCCTCATAGACTGCCTTAGCTTCGACAACGGGGGGTTTTGCAGGAAGAGCATGTGGTCCTCGTGTACCCTGGGCCTGGTCGCCGCCTGGTCTTCTCTGGAACTGGCGCGGAATCGGCGGGGGTGTATCCCGAGGCATGGGTATTCTTCGCACCTCCTCATCTGTCTCGTCGCTACTCTCACTATCCCGATCATGCCGTCCAAAGCGCCCGCCGCCGCCGCCACCACCACCACCATCCCTCCTGCGCTTCCCTAAAACGCCTCCATCGTCACCGTCGCGGTCTCCGCCGCTTCTAGACCCGAAGCTCGCGAATTTGGGAGCCTTATCTCCCAGTGCTTCTCGAGCCTTGAGCACCGCGCGATGATCTCGTTCGAGGGCTTCGAGCAACTGTTGATCACGTGGCCGCAGCTTTTGTCCCGATGCCTCTATGGACTTGATCTCATCAATCTGGCGCTGGATGCGCTCCGGGTTGCGACGGGCTAGTTTCTCATTCCGGCGGGCCAACGCTTCGGCCTTGCCCTTCTTGAGGCTCTTCTGCTTATCTAGTTTCCGCTGCGCCGCGGCAGGGTTCATGGTGCGCTCTTTATCTTTCGGCATTGTGTATTTTTTTTCTGATTATTAGATCTGCGAGGATGGGCCTGAGTTCCGCTGATAGTATGCAGGCACTGACTCGACTTGAACTCAAGTCTCGAGTTGGGGGGGGGCTTGAGTCTCTGTGCAGCTGGCTAGACGTGGGGTGAACTCGGATTCGCTCAGTCTATTGAGCAGGATACATAATCAATTAGCCATTGTCACAACGATACAGGTCGCCGATAATCCTGCGCTGACAGTAGAGCGGGGAAAGGCGCGGGCTGGGCCGGGGGAGCATAAGAGAACGTATGCAAATGTGTGTATGTATGACGAACTCCGGAATGTGCGTGGCCAGAAGGGAAAGAGCAAGAGCTTCCTGCAGCAGCCCAGAATGGCATAGAAAAAAGAGGAGGGGGGGGGGGGGG